GCACTTTCCAAAGGGCCTCTCCGGTATGGACTCTGTTCTGCTCTTCCTTTCATCTTTACCTACTTCCCCTCTCTACATCGTATTCTACTCTCCTTCCTACATTTTTCAAAAAACAGAAGAATGTTTGAAGATTGACATTGGCGATAGTTACTTTATATTAAAAACTGCTAAAGAGGGAGCTATGGTGTAGAGAAGAGGTATCAGCCTCTCCAGTGCTGTTCAACCAGATTAAATTATAATTGGAAAATGTTTAACAAAATAAATAAAAATGCAATTCAACATAAGTAATGCTAATTTGTGGTTTTCAAAGTCAATATGTAGCCACAGGGATCTGTTTCTATTGACATAATGAAAAGGAAACTGGCCTTGAAGCCTGAAAGACCTGGGTTCAGATCCTACTTCTGACTCATATTGGCTGTGAGACCTTGGCCAAGTCACTTAGCAACTGTCTAATACTGGTTGCATAGACAGTGCTACCTTGCCTTGGTTGATGGAGCTTCATCACCAGAATTTTACCATCTCAATGAAATCTCAGAACTAGTCCCTTTTCCTAAATAAATGACAAGCATTTTATTATATTCCATCTTTCCATATGAGCTCTTTCAGAGAGGCAGTATGGTATATTGGGGGCAGCTAGGCAGCACATAGACAGTGTCAGGCCTGAAATCAGCAAGACCTGAGTTCAAATCTGGCCTCAGGCACTTACTAGCTTTGTGACCCTGGCCAAGTCACTTAACCCTGTTTGCCTCAGTTTCTTTATCTGTCAAATGAGCTGGAGAAGGAAATGGCAAGTCACTTTAGTGTCTTTGCCAAGGGAGGTCACAAAGACTCAGACACAACTGAGATGACTGATCAACAATAAAAATGATATATTGGAAAAAGCTGGCTTAAAATCCTGCCTCTGATGCCTACAACTTGGGTGATGTTGGACAAGTTACTCAACCTCCTCCCCTCTTTTAAAGTAAGAGGGTTGTCTTAGGTGGCCTCTAAGCCTTTCTAGCTCTGGAGCTACCATCCTGATTCCTTATCCCTCAAGAGGGAGGCTCCTCAGAAGAAAGATTAAGGACATAAAATTTTCTGTGTTCATTTTTTGCTTCTCAGTTATAATAATGAAGGAGAGTCAGATATGAACACAATAACTCTCCTAGTTTGAACTGAAAAATAAGTCTTTTTAAGAGGGTTATCTGTCTATGACTCTTAAAAGTGGTGAAATATTTAACAAGCCCAGATCTACATCATAACACTTACTGGTGGTGATTCCTACTCCTTTGTTTAAAAGATGGGCAACATCAAAATGCGTTTTTAAAAAACTGAATAGGATGTGTCTAGGTTGATACAGCTTAAGGTAAACTCCCTTTTTTTTTTTAATGTGACTTCTTATTTTTTTCCTCCTATATTTGTAGGGACGACTGCCTGTCAAGTGGATGGCTCCTGAGGCCCTTTTTGATAGGGTGTACACACATCAAAGTGACGTGTAAGTAAGGCTACCTTCCCTTCGGTTTCTTTTTTGGGTTGAGGTTTGAAAACATTGAACATTCTTCAGCTTTCTTCATCTTTAAGTGCTTGCTGCATTTCACACATTAATAGAAGGTGCAGGAGGAGTCGGCCTTAGAAAGTAAGGATTTTATGGTAGACTGGTAACCAATGCTCTGTTACTAATCTGCCTGGCTTCAAAGCACATGAAAGGTGGAAAATGCTAACCTCCTTCTGTCAGTGCGGAAGTTTTCCCCCCTTGAACTTATTTACGGATGTGCGGCAACAAAGCACCTAATTTGCCAGACTCTTGGCATATCCTTAACTTCCTTTAAAAAAATAATCCTGAAACTTTTCTCATTCCACTTCAGTTTTCTTTAATTAATCTTTTTCTGCCTTGTTAAAAACAAGGCAGATTTATGTGAGATGGAGTTAGCTTATATGGCTTCCAAAAGCCCTGCCTGCTATATTTATTCTGTGAAAGGTTTCCTGGTATATAATCTTAGCATCCCTGATAAAATGCCATAGAGAATGGCAATGAAGATTCTGTGGCAAAGTCAGCATTCTTTTAAAAGGAGTATGTGTGTGTTTAAAGGGTCAGCTCTCACATGATTTACAGAATTCAGATTTGGAAATTTGGAAAATATTCCTGGCTTTCTGTTAAAATCAACTCTGCCATTTCTTCTTCTGAAATATTATCAGCCAGCTTTACTTCTCCATACTAAAATGCCAGCATAAATGGCCGGGATTTCACAGCTGCAATTTGCTGGGTCATTCCTATCACAAATCCTTCTTCTTCTTCTTCTTCTTCTTCTTCTTTTTTTTTTCTGATTTATCTTGGAAATTCAAGTCTTTCTGCTTGATTTACCCTACCAGGGGTGACTGTGCTGATCTAGGCCTAAAAAGCCCAAATGGTTAACTTACAGACTCCCAATATGAATATGGGCATTTTCCCTTATTATGATACCTTTAAAGCTTTATTTTTCTTTTGTGAAACTCTCCTGACGTGTTGGGTCATCCTCTGAGTAAGCAGACTGGAGGCACTGAATTCTTAACTTCTAATCCAGGCTCTATGCTAACTCCCTCTGTGACCTTTGCAAGTCACGTAACCTCTGTGCCTCAGATTCCCCACCTGTCAAATGGGGATAATGTTAACTCAAAAGGCTCTTTGCAAGAATTAGTTAGCTGGCCCCATTCTGTCATCTGCCTATACTGGTACAGAACTACCCTTGTGGTCAGTCATGTGGGGAGATTGAAGAATTAGGCTGAACATTGAAAAAGGGCTTTGAAGATAAAGAGGGTTTAGCCCCTCAAACTGGTAACTCTATCCATAAAAAAAAAAATTGGTGAGTGTTTCATTTGTTTAAATTGATTTGAATACTCAGAGGAAAATTCCATCAGAACGCCCGTATGTCATCATTCAATGTCTGTATAAATATTGGGCCATGATCATTGTAGAAGTAAACGAGTATGTGAAGATTAATTGTCAGGACAGTCTATTCACTTGTTCAAAAGCAGGAAAGGGCTGAGTGTTAATTTATTTTTTAAAATGGGCCATGTTTAAGTTTCTTTGGATTTATACCAACCTGTTCATGCTTTACTTTCTCCTTTTTTCTGCAGCTGGTCATTTGGGGTGTTAATGTGGGAGATCTTCACTTTAGGGGGATCACCCTATCCGGGAATCCCAGTGGAGGAACTCTTTAAGCTGCTTAAGGAAGGCCACAGGATGGACAAACCAGCCAACTGCACCAATGAGCTGTAAGGACCATTGTATACTCTGGGGGCGGTGCTAGGATTTCATCACACTCAAACTGCATGTCCTGATTTATTTAAGTTCCATAAGCCACTTGATTATCTAAACATGCTATAAGAAAGAATAATTGCTGAAGCTTTCTGGGCTCAGTCCCAGAACCAAGATTGATGGTTATACTGACAACCATTACTTGCTCACAAAAGAAAGAGACATCATCTTTAGGTGTATGGAATAAGACTTGGACCTGTTGTCTTTAAATCATGCTACGAGCTTTGTTTTCTTTCAAAGGATTCCCTTTTCCTAGCATTCTATCTTCTCACTTGGTCGCCACCAGTACATTTTTCTGTCATGTTCATCTTTCATCAGAAGTAGAGTCAGAATAATATTTCTAAGACATCCTTGTGTGCTATACAGAAAGTCATGGCTCCTGTTGCCTTGGGTTCCCCTTTGCTTCAGGCTTGTGTATGGGCTTGCCCAACTAATGGAGAACAGCTTCTTTATAAGTCCATTGAAGACTCATACAGGTATTGATATCACTGGTTAACACATACAGCCTTTCCTAAAAGCTGAATGGATCAATATCTGATTGACAATAGCTTGGCTCAAAGATAAAAATAGGTTATGGAATCCATCTTTAGGGGACCAAACATAATTACAATGCCATTAGAGCTGGTTTCAATGTATACTTTACTTAAATACAAACCAAGTGAATCATTAGTGATATGTGTGCCTTCTGTGCAATGTGAGCCCTCTTTGGAAAGAATGAGTCTCCTAAACATAGAGGCATAAAATAACCAAGGCATAGGATTAACTAAGAATAAACATGATGTTATACCAAGTGATTGCACAAGAGACTATAGTCTCTATTGTGTGCTGTTTCATCAGGATTTCATACAATAAATCTTATGAATCCTTTTCAGTGTATGACAGACTTTTAATGAATAGCTATATTATATAAAGACATTTATTGTATTCTTGTCATTCTTACTATTCTTTTCAGTATAATAGATTTGACCAAAGCCATAATCACTATGACGCCCATGAATCTAGGCCTCAAAGAGCTAATTAATCGGTGAATGATCAGACTAACAAGAATGACTCTTAATTCACAAGGTGGATTCTTAGATATCAATGTAGAATACAGACTTACCTTCTCAAGATGATGAGGCTCAACCAATTATTCTTAACAGCAGTGCTCCTATGGAATCATCTAGCCCTTGTGACATTATTTCACCTAAAATCTGATCATGAAGGAATCAGTTAATAATTTCTACTTCTATCCTCAGTGCTGTGCACAGGGATTGCAGTCAGACAATAAACATTTTTTTAAGTGCTTACTATGTATCAGGTACTGTGTTAAATGCTGACATATAATAAATACTTAATACATGCTTTTTCATTCATTCAAACAATTTTTAAAAAGATAGCTGTACCTTCTTTGATGCAATAAATGTTCTTCATAAAAAGTTTGGTATAAAATATTTTTTATTCAGATCACTATTCAGAGTAACTTGAGAGTGAATTATTTTATTAAATAAAAATTGCTGTTTTTATTTATTTGGCTGTTTGGAAAATACTGATGGAGGTTTCTTAAAATAGCATACTCTAGTGTCATACATGCTAGCAAGAAGTTAATTTACTGAGGAAATTGAATGTTTTTCAGGTATATGATGATGCGGGATTGTTGGCATGCAGTACCTTCTCAAAGACCAACATTTAAGCAGTTGGTGAAGACTTAGACCGAATTCTCACTCTTACAACTAATGAGGTAAGTTCCCTTTAAAGAGAAGCTCATCGTTAATGAATCAAGGAATGAATATAATTCCTTGAAATATGAAACTCTACTGTCTGATTTTGCAGTAGAGTTTATCATTTTTCCTTCTGGGGTCAGACAGAGTTAAACTATGTGTTTTAATCAAATCATGATTTTTCTTGGAGCTGCCTTACTTGCAGGGTTGTGATTTATTAAACCTAAAAGAAAGGCATACACTGAGAAGGGACTTCATCATGTTTTTAGCATCACAGCATTCACAAAATGTGTTTATTTGTGTATATTTTTATGCCCTTCTGTGTGGGAGAGGGGAGGGGAGCCAGCATATGATTTTTTTGCACTAATTTCACGTGTGGAAGGAGCTGGAATTAATGTACAAATTAGATTCTGCTTTATAGAGGAAGAGCATACAGCAAATTTCAGGCTAACTTGAATGTTTTTGGTGAAGTAATTATTGTTTCCTGCTGATCATCACCATTAGAGTAAAAAACTCATAAATTCCTCTTCAGGATAGGAATGAGCAGCTTCTGTAAAAGAAAAACAAAAAACAATAAGCCATACCTTTGGCTAAAACATTTTTAGTCCAACAAAAGAAGCATTTTAATGCTCCTCACTGCCTAAATTTACCCCCAGCAAATCCAAACAGTTGTAGCCACACCATGCTAGACATGAAAATGAGACGGAGATGGGAAAGACGATGTAGGTGGTATTGGTGGTTATCTAAAGTGTGAAACCTCATGGACAAAGAAAAGTCATGGCCTCATCAAAAAGTTTATAAACCTCTCAATTTGATCTTTGCCCTATAGAGAAAACTGTGAGTTGAGTTTGAAATGTTTAATGAGAGAATCCTCCATAAACTATTCCAGATCTAAAGCACTTAATTTAATTAAGGATATAGTCATAAAATTCCTAAATGGAGGGACTCAACCCCAGTCTCTTAAAAATCACTTTTAAAGTTGGATACCTGATCTTTTAAGAAGGAAAAGGAGCCTTTCTAATAATGTCTGGTTTAGAAAATAGTTTGAGAGTAATTTAAAAAAATAATTAAATGTGGCAGTATTAAATCTCAAGGCAGCCGGTTTATCTTGTGGGTCGGATCATGCCTTGTGGTTGGATAAAGGGAGCAACTACATTTAAGTAAGTACAGCTGACCATCACAAGTTGAAAGGGAAGGAACATCTTAAGGAAAAAAAATGAACTTTATTCTCTTGCCAAGATTGTTCAGTCTAGTATAAGTTCCTTATCCCTAGACTTAGAATCTACAGATATATTTCCCTTTAACATCAGACTAAAACAGTTCTGGCCATTTTAGGAAAACAAGAGAAGTGCTAAAGAGATGCTTGAATGAGCCAATCACTGTTCTAACTCTTAGGTTATTTATTTATTTGCATTATAAGTAGTTCCATTCATTTCAAAAGTACAATTTAATATTCTAAAATAAAAAGCAGATAGTCATATTGACCAAAGGAATATAAAAAAAATTGAAGTATCTTTCCTTCTGGAAATCATTACCATATGCTAGAGAAAAATGGTTCCATTTAGGACGAAATTTCATTTTTATCATTGTAAGCGAAAAGTTCCCTTTTGATGTGGTGGGTGTGTTTGTTTCCAGTTGTACGGTTAATGCTGATGTTGTTGGAACTGACACATCCACCATTTCAGATGGGGATTTTTCTTCTTGCCAACCATTCTGATAAATTATTATTATTTTTTTCTTTAATGCATAGTTGCCAACATTCTGTGCCTAGTTTCCTAATAAAGCTGAGGTTGGGCTCCTTTATACCCACATTATTGTTCACAAAATGTGCTTCTTCTCCAGCAGAGTCAAGTGGTACATAAAAGTGCACAAGAATAGCCCCATGACTGAACCAGGTGTGGGTAATGACACCAAAGGATAGTTTGTGGGTATCAACTCAGGTTTTGGCTCATTAGCTGCACTGGTGGTTGTTTTTCGCTGAACCAGAGAAGCTGCTTGCTCTGTTTTAACAAAAGATTTGCCATGTAGGTCCAAACTAATAATTCCTTTTCCCTTCTTATTCCAGTAGTCTGTTTGATAGCTATACACAGAGAAAACATTGATCCCTCAAAGTTTGGGAATATAACCTACACAATATCATATTCTCTTTAATAATTAATTATGGATACATCATTTATGAATTTATTTTGATATTTATTTATATTTTCCTCATGTACTATGCCTGAAGGTAATGAATTTCATATTAAGTATCTACTCTAGCATAAATAAATTCTTTAATATACATGAAATATGCTAATGATATACTGTATATTACTATAATATTTTAATGTAGATATAATGTTGTTTATTATATAATATGATAATACATACTAAAGATATCTCCATGTCTCGTGGTGGTGCTACCTGATTCTGGCACAAACATCATTCTCCATCACAACTTGAAATCACTAGTCTAACATTAAGTGCCTTCCTTGCTCTTTTTTAGGAATACTTGGACCTGAGTGGACCTCTGGAACAGTATTCACCCAGTTATCCTGACACAAGAAGCTCGTGCTCTTCAGGAGATGACTCTGTGTTTTCTCCAGATCCAATGCCTTATGAACCATGCCTTCCCAAGTATCAACACATAAATGGCACTGTTAAAACATGAAAAAAGTGAGTTCTCACTTCTTCAAAGAGAAGGACACTTGGGAACTTGGAACACCAACCTACCTACAATGAGCAGGGAGATGTTTTCTCCAGGAATGTGTTGTTTCAACTTGTATATATGAATAATAAGGAATAAATAATACTTGGAGAAAAAAATGGTCGGGACACGTGTAAGGATTTATACATTTTGAAGCTCTTAACCTTCACCAGGAAAAGATGAATGTTTATGGGGAGTGGACAGCACTGGCTAACACGCCACATCAACTTTCTGGCCTGCTGGAAGCAGCAACTGGAAATTTACTGGCAATGGACTCTTTGGACTTAAGGCAAACACAAGTTCTGCCTTCCTTGTTTATTTTGTAATATTTGGAGAAAATATATGTCAGCACACACTTACAGAGCACAAATGCAGTATATAGTGCTGGATGTATGTAAATATATTCAAAGTATGTATAAATATATATATATTATATATTTACAATGAATTATTTTTTGTATTGATTTAAAAATGGATGTCCCAATGCACCTAGAAAATTAGTCTCTTTTTTTAAAAACAGCTATTTGATAAATGCTGTTCTACACAGAATTTCTTAATTTTCACCTAACGGAGGTGGAAAAAGACTTTGCTTTCAGGGAAAATGGTATAACATTAATTTATTAACTAATTGGTAATGTACAAAACAATTAATCTTTTATTTTTTTTTGTAATTTAAATGGCATTTCTATGCAGGCAGCACAGAGAACTAGTTGACATATTGCTCAGACTTTACTAGCTATCAGATCCTTTGGAAAAAAAAAAGAAATATTTACATTATATAACTAATTTGGGGGAATTAAGCTTTGATTTATTTGTGTTTAAACTATAATGTCAGATGATTATTCTTATCCAACCCAAAATGTCCATATTAAAAGAATCCTTTAATAAGAAGGTATTATATTTTTTGTATCCTTGGTATCTATCATTGGAACCTATGTAATATTTAATTGTCCTTCCCAGGACAAAGAGTACCATCATTCTCTTAAGAAGATGCCTTAATCCATTCTAAGAGGATGGAGCTGACTTGTAATGATAGCAGAATGTACTTCTCTCTCAGCAGCTGGGCTTTTGCCTCGAAGTTGCACATTAATCAGATTAGCTAGTATTCTCTTCAGTGAGTTCTGATAATAGGTTCCAGATTCTTTGGCCTTAAAAGAAGCCTTTTAGGATCTTCAAATATTACAAATGAAAATTAAAATGCAAAGTTATTCTGCTGATGATTGAAGAATACTACCATCTTTTTAAGGGATTGCTTCACCCTATCTCCAACAAGACCTCACCCAAAGATCAGACCTGTACTGATTTCAGAGGAAAGATCACTGTATTAATCATTTTGTATTAAAGTATTGTGTTTTGCTTTCAAAACACCCACTCACTTTGTTATAGCCATGCGGTATGAATGCAGATTACACTGATTTTACGTATTAAGAAATTGGAGAAAGTATTAAAAAATTGTTAACTTTTATACTGACAATAAAATGTTTCTACAGATATTAATGTTAACATGACAAAATAAACGTCACGCAGCATATTTTTTTAATTCTTGTGTCTTACCAAATGGTTTGCTCTCTTTGGCGCTATTGGCCGCAGTGTTGATGATGATGGCTGTTCTAGGAGAGGCAAAAGGGTAGAGGCAGCTACTCGGAGGTGATTTGTTACTACAAGAAAAGCAGGGTTAGAGTGACCCTTCTGGGGAACCAAAGGTCATAGAAGATGAAGATGTCCACTGGACAATCTGTGAGCTGCCAGGCTACTTAGAGACAAGTCAGATGAACATCCTCTAGATTGGATTTTAAATTGTAATTCGAAGGTAAAAAATTTAAAAGTTGCCCAGAGGACAGCACAATTTCCATCAAAAGCTACTTCACAAAATAAAAAAGATATAGGGTTTTTTTTTGTCTGTCAATTAATATAGTCCTGTGATTGTTAAAACCTTTTTTGTATTCCCTTTTGAGTCTTCCCAGAACCAGAGAGCAAGAAACCAAAGTTATCTTTTGGTTTTTCTTAACCTTTCTTAACCTTTTTCTCTGATTTTGTTATACACCGGAACCTGGCAACCAATCAGATGTTCACTAAGTGCCTACTAAATGCCAGATACTGTTCTGGGTTCTAGAAATAAAAGTTCAAAGAGTAAGACGACCTCAACTCTCACAATGAGCTTATATAATAATAACAATAATGATAATAGATAGCATTTATTTAGTGCTTTAAGGTTTACAAAGCACTTTATGAACATCTCGCTTCATCCTCCCAACAACTGTGGAAGAAGGTGATATTATTATCTCTCTTTTACAGATAAGGAAATTGAGGCAAACAGAGGTTAAGTGACTTACCCAGGATCACCCAGCTGTTAAAGTTTATCTGAGGTCAAAGTTGGACTCAGGTCTTCCCGACTCCAGATCTTACACTCTTATCTACTGTACCACCTAGCTGCCTCTATGTTCTAATAACACTACCCCTAGATTGAGAATTTACAAAGGAACTACTAGACACTTCTGTGATCCAGTTTTCTATTTGAGGGAGGGAAGAGGGAATAAAAAGTGAAAATTTATAACTTGCTAGTTTCTCTTTTATAACTTGCTTTGTCTCAGAGTTACTTGAAAAATACTTATGAGCAGGGGAGAGAAGGGAGCAGGGTGTGCAAAATGTAGGCTATGAAATTATTTCTGAATAATCTTTCCTTTAGAAATGCTGAATTGCAGTATAGTAGGAAGAAGACTAGATTCAGAGTCAGGATACGGTTTCTCCTTACTAGCTGTAAGGCTCCCCCCTCAGCTCTATAATAAGGGGGTTGAACAAGATGGTCCCTGAGGTCCTATCCAGTTCTCAAACTAGGAACTCTGTGATGAATTGCACAGTTTTTCTTATTAGACCCAAGAAAAATAAGTTGAATTAGTCTAACCATGATGTCATAATTGCCATAGAACATAAGAGTCTCATAGGTTTCCAGCATTAAAATGCAAACTCTTTGAGGCCAGGGACTGTTTTATTTTATTTTATTTTTTGCACTTATACCCTTGCTTAACATATAGAAAATATTTAAATACTTTTTGCTTGATATGGGGGATTTTTGGGGTCTAGTGACTCATCCAACATCACATAACCAATTAGTAGCAAAGTAAGGGGCCTTAATGACTGTCTGCCCTGAAATCAACTGATTGTAGAAGAAACTGATTTTTAACTTTCCTATAGATAGCACTATGTTTAAACTTGTAGACCCTGAATCTGAAGGTGGTTGAAAAACAGCCCCAAAAGTCTAACTAGTAATTACCTGAGGTAATAGACCATAGCATAGCAGCTGACCTGGTTCTTTCCATAGAGCAAAATAGAGCACCCTTGGCAAACCAGCAAAAATGAAAGTTAGAACTGGCTTCTATACTTGCCATGTCTTCAAAATGCACTATGTGGGCACCAATTTCTTTAAAGTCTAATCACAGAGTCCTGCCCAGCATCCAGTTCAACTTTCAGTAGTCCTCTTTATTCCCCATATTTGAGGATATGCTACTGGTTTTCCCATTTTGTGCTTTCTGCCCCCTCCCCCCCATTGCTAAAACTATTGCTTGTTGTGTAATTACTCTAAGACTTTCTGTTGAAATTTAACAACTGTAGATGTGGGACCATCAAACTGGGTCACCAACAAAAATTAGTTGGAAAATGTGATTCAGAATTTTCCTCAAAACACTGATAGATATGAGAATTGTAGAGTTTGACACAGCTAGAAACATAGCAGGGAAACAGTGAAACCTACACAGGGATAGAACATTGGGCCCAGAGTCAGGAACTTCTGAGTTCAAATCTGGCCTCAGACACTAGCTGTGTGACCGTGGGAAAGTCACTTAACCCCTATTTACCTCAGTTCCTCATTTGTAAAATGGGTACGCACCGGAAAAGGAAATGGCAAATCACTTCAGTATCTTTGCCAAGAAAATCCCATGGACAAGTCCATAGGGTCCTGAAGAGTCACACGTGACTGAACAACAACAAAGAAACTTGGGAGCAGAGTTCTCAGAAAATGCCAGGAGATTGTCAAGATAGCAGAACCTTGAGGACTCGGGGAGATGGCTGCTGAGGCTCTTCAAACGAAATTCTTTCATTCTTTAATTAATTGCCAGCAGCATCAATCAAGTCTTAGAGAAGCCTGGTAGGACAAGCTTATACTTGGAGAGTTGTTTGGTATGGAGCATCAGAATAGAAGGGAAAAATAGCCCTAAGTCAGGGTAAAATCCAGGACTCACGGAGAAGAGCCGCAGGAGAGGGACAGTCTGTCAGAAGAAGATGAAAAAAAATCATTTTATTCCAAAAATGTAATGGCGACTATTTAATAAAATAAACAAATACAATAAAACATAGATTAAAAAAAGAGAGACACTTAGAAACTAACTGACTTTTTGTGGAAGGATTCTATGTCTGACTTCCTTCAGCAATATTCAGTAGATTCTAGTGCCTGCTCCCCCAAACTTTGCCAAGCGTCTATCCTTAATGTTCATTTGGAGCAGCTGTTCTTAACATTTTTGGTGTCTCAGATCCCATTGGCTTTCTGCTGAAGCCTATGGACCCCTTCTTGGCATGTTTTAAACGCTTAAAATAAAATGCATGGGATTATAAAGGAAAGAAATTATTTTGAAATACAGTTATCAATTTAAAAAAAAAGTTCTTTCCCCACCCAGGTTAAGAGCTCCTGGTTTAAAGAATGTGTAACTATGTTTCTCTGAGACATTGGCATCCAAATACTAGGTATTTAAGTTTTCTAAATGGTACAAATGTGGATTGTTTTACTATGGATTTTTGTAATTAAAAGGAAAGTTATTCTTTATTCTCTTCCTTTCTGGAAGAGAGGAAGCAAGGGTAAGAAAACAGGCAGAAACAAAGGTTCTGAGAGTTAACTTTAAGTTTCTTACCCATAAAGTGGATAAAACACTGAGTGGAATACCTGCCAAATAGAAAATTGTAAGAGATCGATTATAGAGATTCTTTAGCCCAACTCCCTTATTTTACTGGTGACCACAAATGAAGGCCAGAGAAGTAATTACTTGCACAAGGTCACACAACTAGTGAGTGTCAGAGCCTAAGGGTCTCTTGATATACCCTAGTTTTACTCCCAGCTGCCTCCTGGGAAGATTTCAGAAACTGATAAATCAAGTTCCACCCGTCCTGATGTATGTGAGCTAAATTGCACATACTGTAAACAGAGCACAAGAAGAGAGATTTTCTGGTTATAATCCTTGAGTAAATCTCTGTCTCTCTTCCCAGTTTTAACTCAGTAAAATCAGAATGTGTAAGCAATTCTTTCTAACTGCTGGATATATTATCATTTCTGTATGTACATTGGAATCTTCATTATATAGACTGCGTTTTGATGTTATTTGGTTTTTGATGTTAGTTGAGATGAAAGAAAAGTTTATCTTCTCTCACATTTCATTCCAAAGTAGCCTTGAAATGACTTGACTGTCCACCCCAGATGCTTTCCATGTTTTAAGAGGTCTTTGGGGAGTGAGCCTTTACTAGACTTTTGCCCTCTGGGTTTCCTGGTAGTGTAGATGAGCTTCTTGAAAGTCACCTCTCAGTTCAGTTCCAACTGTCCAATTCAGTTCCAATAGAACAACTCAGGAAAACAGAAGCCCATCCTTCCTTTACAATGTCTCAGTTAAGATTTCAGAATTTTTGAGATTTAAGCAAGCAAACAAAAAATAAACAGGTCCTGGAAACATTCAGAGAATAGATTTCTTCCAATTTGCAAAGATGTATCTGTATATGCATTGTCTAGTAGCATGCCTGGTACTTAGTAGTTCTCAATAGATTTTTTTTAGATTGAGATTGATGGCTTAAAGTTGATATTTCATCAGTTTCTCATTCTTAGTGACTCATATTTGCATCTTTCAACAAATTTTCCAGCATGCTGGAGTCTTTGATCTGACTCTTTTCACATCTCCTGGGCATAAGTGTAGCACTAAGTCTGTTCTTCTATCTCATCCTTTAAAACATTTTTCCCATAATTGACATTTATTTGGTGTCTATTGTTTGCTGTGGATTCACAGGGTTCCTTTAAATAGCAAGATTCACTTTTGCATTCACAAATACAGTCCAATCTCTCATTCTTGATACATGAATTACTCACTTTTTTTGGTCATATATGTCTTGAAGAATGTCTTTTCCCCAACTTTGTGAGGACAAAACATTGATGGTAATATACTGCAGCACACTTTCTCTCCATGCATTTTTCCTTTGCTTCTTGAGTTCCTTGCAATTTTGAGTCTTTCAAAACCATGCTTCACCATAATTCAAAGACTTTTAGCAAGACTGAAGGAATATTGATGTTAATAAAATGGACTTTTATGTCATCTAACATTCTGGGATTCTTGAAAGAATATTCTTTTGCATCAATTTCCTTCTCTTCATTTAAACAGCCACTACAATAGTTCAGAACCTTATCAACACCCATCTGAACTACTGCAGCAACCTTCTAATTGGTAGCCTCTCAAGCCTTTCCCCTCTCTAAACCATCTATAGAGTGGTCAACATGATATTCCTAAAAGTCACTTTTTGGTGTGGGATACTATAGGGGTTTCCAGTTGCCTCTAGGATCAATCACAAACGCCTCAGTTTCAAATTTAAAACTCTTCACTACATAATTCCCACCTTTCTTCCTCGTCTTGTTATA